AGCAACCCTACAGGACAGAGCAGAACTGCCCCATGGGGTTTCCAAGGAACGGCTGGTGGATTCACACTGCCAATCTTTTGGTTAGTAGCCGAGCTCTTAACCACTGTGCCACTATCTCCTTTACAGCCTTCTAAAATATACCTATGGCCAAGTATACCCGCTATGGTTTTATTAGTATAGTAACCTCACCTCGACTCCCCGCTGCCTAAATCTGCTGTTCTGAGCCCTACCCAAATATTAGAATCATCAAAGTTGCTTTAAAAAATACCAATGTCCTAGCCTTGATCTGAAATTCTGATTCAACTGAAATTGGGGGCTTGGTATACTATTTAAATTCCCCAACTGATTTTAATGTGTAGCCAGGGTTGAGTACCATTGACCCAAAGATAAAGTTCGAATTCCATATTATGGCAAGCAAGTTCTTCCAGGACTGAGTCCCTGCCCTCCTCACTGGTCTGTTCTCTCGTAACATGGTATCCATCACACCATGAGGTCAGCTTCAAACACACACAGAAGCTCTTCCCACCTGCAGCTCTATGTCCCTGCTCATGGCATGCCTTTCCCTGGAAGCCCCCGATCTTCTCCCAATCACTCTCGCTTCTGCTAGCAAACCAAACCCAAACCAGTTGCTGTTGAGGCCAGTCATGGCTACCCCATGTGTGTCAGAGTAGAAATGTGCTCCATAGGGTTTTCAATAGCTGATTTTTCAGAAGTAGATTACCAGGACTTTCTTCCGAGGTACCTCTAGGTAGACTTGAACCTCCAACCCTTCAGTTAGCAGCCTATTGCAATGTCTGCACCACACAGGGACTTCTCCTACCGAGCGTCTACAAGCCAAACGTGCCCGGCCACCCAGGGAACGTTTCCGCCTTCCTCCTTCTTCCCCCACTCTGCTGGACCCATGTACATCTCTGCATCTCCTCTCACAGGACTCTGTGCTCTCCAGGGCTAGCCCAAATCTAATCTTAGCAAATCAAGAGGTCAAGAACATGTGTCAGTTGAAAAAAAAAGCATCTGTGTCAGTTTTGTTCATCACTGGGGACCAGCTAAACAATTTGCAGGGCCCAGTGCAAAATGAAATCACAGAGCTCCTCGTTAAAAATTGTTAAGAATTTCAAGACGGTGACAGCAGAGCCTTACATCAAGCACAGGGCCCTCCTGCTTATTAGATAGTTGGTGCTCAAAGACGTTTGCTGAATTAATCATTCTTTTTTGCATCTCCTGCAGCTGGGGTGGTGATTTGCAGAATGAATGTGCACTTCCTGCCTCCTGTGGAACGCCCACGGACCAGAGGCTGCAGTGTTGGAAGGAAAGAGGGAAGAATGGGAGAGGTGGTTCACAATTTATGATGAAGCAAATGCCTCATTTAACAAGAGCCAGGCACCGCGGACAACCACGCACGCTGCCCTTGTACAGCGCTACCGATGACCCTACACAGCAACAGCTTATCTCCTTCCGGACTAGCAGACAGAACGGGAAAAAAGTAAGTCTGTCCACCCAGTTAAATATTGTCTGCTCTTAACCGGATAGTAACATAGCCAAGACAGCCTTATTAGGGGCACTTGATCTTGGAGATTAAAATGTATATTTTGAAAATTTTTTTCAAGTAGCTTTACTGTTCATTTGCTAAAACATAACGTGCTTGTTTTCTAATTACTCTTATATTCCTGACAGGTAGAGAGGTCATTTCTAATCACACCTCTTACACAAAATGGCTCTTACAATGTTAGTCTATTCCATAGTTTTTAAAGCAAATCCAAGACATTATGACATTTTTCCTCCCTTACGACTCTTAAAAATCTGGACGTTACTTGTGTACCCTAAAGTCCAGAACTGTTAGTGGCATGATGTGAACAAAACCATAACCACAATGCTATCATCACACCAAAAAACAATTATCAATAATTCCTGTGTATTTATTATCTGTTTCTCTCTTGATCAAGTTCCCCCAAATGCTCTGGCCCTGTGATGTTCACTTAGAACACACCATCTGGAAAATTACTGCCTGGGAACACCCAGCTTCCAAGGAGGAAGTCATGTTGAAAACGCATTGTCACATCCATTCCTGCCTTTTACACCGCACTGGGTAGAAACGTCATAATATTGTGGTTTCTGGGCAGTGAAGACACCTGGTTTTTCTCTTGAAGAGGAAAACTCGTACGTCAGTTGACTTTCTTCACTCTCTATTTTTAAATGGACTGTTCTCTAATAGTTTCCTTTCCTATCTCACCATGCCCACATTTCTCCTTCCTTTTCGCCCACCCTCCTCCTCACATGCTGAAGACTGATAATGCGGTACTAAAAATACCGAGTTTAGCTCGCAGGCACTGCTCTGGAAAAGTCAGGCTTGATTTTCAGTAACTTGGGTAAGGGGTTTTCTTAAGCACTCCATTCTCAGTCTTAAACACATTCTATTAATTATTCCATTAGCAGCGATGAATCCCACTATGCCTCTTCCCCCGCAGGGCAAATCCACAGAGCTGAAGGTGGGCCTTCCACTGAGACCCATTTAAGGAAACATGGCATTAACATCTAAATACTATACTATACTAACACCGAATTAATTTTGTACAGAGATGCCCCGTGCATGGTTGAAAGTTGGCATTGCCACCAAAAGTCCAGAATGCTGGGGCCATTGGAAGAAAGTCCAGAATGCAGCTCTTTATCTGTAGAAGTAAAAGCATGGTGTTTAGGATCTTCCGCAATTTGCCTTGCCTCCATTAATCCTCAAGACCACCCTCTGAGCGAGGTAAGACTGTGCCCATCTTACAATTTAAGTGGTTCGCCCTGGATTACACAGTGAGTTGACAACAAATCTGAGCCAGTCCCCCTCTCTCCCAGCCAAGTGCCCGGAACGGTGGTTCACAGGCAGCATGCTTTTCATGCTGAGGACTGTGCCTCCTTGCCTCCCCTCCCTTCCGCTCCCAAAGCTGCACTGTCTCCTCCGAGCTATGCAGAAGCTTCTGGAAACCCGAGGAAGCCAATTGCATGTAAATGTTGATGTCTATTTGCATTTCTTTATTTCTCTAGGAAAAGAGGCCTGAGCTTAACAGAAAAATAAAAAGTTGAGAAACACCCTCTCAAAACCTTAGAGTTATTTTAAACCTCCGGTTGTGCAGTTGGCACTTATGACCTCCCCCCGCCCCACAAGTGCAGGTGCACACACACACATGCCCACACCATACGTCCCCATAGGATCACCACATCCTTCATTAAATTGCCATACATGACAAATATTCCTCCAACCCAAGCTTTTTTTTTTTTCAAGAGCAAGCTTGGCAGAGCCCATCTAGCAACTAAAAATAAATCCTGGAGAGACCACTTTTTCCTGGGAAGGTCTGTCGTTAGAAATAAAAATTCAGAGCAGTTGCTCAGGTGAAAATTGATTACTGCTTCAGTCTGTTCAGGGGACAATAGGAATGGAATGCGATACACAAACTCCTGGCTGTAAATTCATCACTGATTCAACCAACACTAATTTAGACCATTTTCCTTTCACAGCCTGTAGGATTTTTGCCATTAGAAGATATTCCATCAATAAGACATGTGTCCCAGAGAGAAATTATGTGCCCACCTGAGGCGCCTCAGCAGTCAGAAAGAGAAGGATGAGATTAAATTGTCAGAACACAGACCAGTGAAATAGAGCTGAGGAAGGGGATAGTTGGACTCCTGAATAAAATAATAATAATAATGAGTCTCAAATCCCAGAATCCTGCAGCTGGAAAACATGATTTGCACACTGAAACATTTAGTAGCTGAATTCACTGTACAAATCTAAATTAATGGCCTGGAAAATCAAGACCATCTTAAAGAACAGAGATGAAAATGGTGGGAAAATACAGGGGACCCAGAAAATAGATCCAAGAAACAATGTGTGAAAAATTAACGTTTCCTCAAGTCGGGTATTGGATACAAGGTGTGATAATGGCATTGTGGTGATATTATGGATGAGATTCATACTGATGTTCTTATGAATGAAGTGGTGAAACGTCAGGGATTTGCCTTAAAATTCTCAAACACACAAAAAGAATGGGGGAGGGCACAAGTAGATGACACGAGAATGAGAAAATGGTGGTCACTGTTGACACTGCACATGACGGGGCATGTGAGTTCATTACACTATTTCATCTACATTTGTGCATTTTTGACACTTTCCATAATCAAAAGTTTATTTTTTAAAAATAACAGAAATGTTCCAAAAAAAAAGAAAAAGGAGCAGATGGGGCGAGGCAGTAATTCAACAATTTCCACAGTACATTTTCCCTGAGCTGAGGAAAGACCTCAGTCTGCTTGTGCAGTTCCAGGCGAGACTCATGAGAACAGGTCCATACCTGGGCGTATTTTAGTAAAGTTCTAAGAACTAAAAGAAAATTTTTACTAGCTTCCAGGAAGAAAAAACAAAACAAAAAAAAAAAACCAGTTATCTGCAAAGGGGGAAAAACATCTTAACGGCATCGAAATTTGCTTGTGCTATGCTACAAGCAAAAGAGCCCTGGTGGTGCAGCAGTTAAGCCCTCGGCTGCTAACTTAAAGACTGGCAGTTTGAACCCACCAGCCACTCCCTGCTTCCATAAAGATTACATCCTAGGAAACCTATGGAGCAGTTCTACTCTGTCCTACAGGGTCGCTATGAGTCAGAATTGACTCGAAATCAGTAGGTTTGGTTTATGCTACAAGCTAGAAAACAGGGGACTAGAATCTGCAGACTTCAGAGTAAAGGACCTCAATCCAAGAATGCTTTTCCAGCTGTAATAACATTTGTCTTTTAGAGAAAAAAAGATTTGAGATCATGTAAGAACACAGAAAATATTATCACTTAAATGCTCCATCCAGATTTTAAAAAGAAAAAACACTTAGAAAAAGAGTCTAACCAAGCAACAAATGAACCAGAAAAGGCCTAAAGCTGGGGGAAGAGGAAACTATGGTGAGCAATGAACACGGATATGTGTATGTGTAATCAAATCTACAAGATATGTTGTCTGGAAATAGACTATGATTGGTAAATGAGAACGTTTAAAATAGAAAGGAGAGGACTTCCTGCAATAGGTTTGGTTATTCAGATTAGCAATACCATGATAGATAAGTTTTTAAAAAATGAAAAAATATTTTTTAAGTTATCTCAAAAGCATTAGAGACTTGACAAGAGTGTCGAAAATCAGCAGTTCATGACTGAAGGAAAAACAGGAATCTGATAGGTAAATAAGCTGCTTTTGTCCTTAGAGCATTTACCAATCTAGGAAACTTTCAGCTTTTGTGTTGATGGGTTCACAGTGTGAGGGGGACAGAAATCTAAAACAAAAGCCTCCATGAGATGGGGATCTAACAGAAGATCCTCCCCTCAATATGCTGGGACTCTGTCCAAAGCCATACACACTTACGGGTGAGGATAAACCAGAAATGAACCAGCTCTTGAATGGCGTTATGGACTGGTACCAAATGCCTGACTGGTCAGTGACTTTCAAGCTTTGAACTTGGTTTGAGTTCTAGATTGGTAGCAACTCCTTTTGCCAGACAGAAAGAAAGGCAAATGCTTTTAGAATCAAGGTGCCTCATCCTAGGTCACGATTTATATCTACAAATAATTCTTCAAGCACAATGACTGCACACAACTGAAGATAATTTGACACAAATGGAAAGCAAACTCCAAAAGGAAGAACTAGAAGAAATAACAGACAATTCAAACAAACACACAAAGATTTTCATATTGAAATGATCAGACACAAACTATAAAACAACTACGCTTATCATGTTCAAAGAAATAACGACAATGTAAATGGGAAGAAAACAGGAACTATAAAACATGGTATAGAATGTTTGAAAAAGAAGCAAGTAGAATTTTTAGAAATAAAAACATAATAATAACCAAAATTACTGGTTTTTATAAACTCAGTGGATGCGTTTAACAGCAAATTAGTAAAAACCGAAAAGAAAATTAGTAAACTGAAAGATAAATCAGAAGAAAATTATTCAGAGTGTAACATCCAGAGACAAAAAGATGAAGAATTAAGCAGGAGAGGTTAAAATACATAAAGCATAGACTGAAAAGGTCTAATGTACATTTAATATTGATCTGGATGTTAATTATACCACTGTTTGTTTTATAATTACGTATCATATTGAACTTAAAGTGCTCGGTTGCTAACTGAAAGGTCAGCAGTTCGAATCCACCAGCAGCTCTTCGGGAGAAGGATTTAGCAGTCTATTTCCGTAAGGATTTATAGCCTTGGAAACCCTACTGGGCAGTTCTACTCTGCCCTATAGAGCGTCTATGAGTCGGCATCAACTTGACAGCAGTGGGTATGAATTTTTGGTTTATCATACTGAACATGCATATGTAACATATATTTGTAATAAAACTTACATACTTTTCTGTTTATGTGTTATATTTTATAATTTAAAATTAATTTTTAAAAAGCATATACTATAAGGGGATCTCTAGTAAGTTCTAAACACAGAAAGATGCAGACATCTGAGGTGTAGGAAGTACTAAGGCGACAGATGGGATTAAAGCATTCCATCCAGAGGAGGAGGAGGGGAGAGGACAGGGCACACATTATGGGGCTAGAAGGAAGAAAGAGGAAGAAAGGAGCGTTATAGTGGAGAAAACATTGTGTCTTGAAAGTGGAAATAGTTGTATCTTATTTTAAAAATAACAATTGAGCTGTATTTGTCTAATTAAGAACACAATCAAAGGGGTGGTCAGCTTTAAATAGGATGGGAATATTGGCAAGAACAATATTAAATGATAAACTTGATGGAACCAGAAGAATATTAAGGAAAGGGCAAGAGAAGAAACAGCAATCTAAGATAAGTAATAAGCACAGAGGAAAATGAAACAAAATAAAAACTATCACTCATTGCACAAAATGTGAATGGACTGAATTCACCTGTTTAAAGACAAAAACTCTAAAAATAGGTTAAAAACAAAACCTAGATATGAATTTTACAAGAAGTAGAGTTAGAACAAAGTGACAGAGAAAAGTGAAAATTTGAAGTAGGCTGCAGTATGGCAGACTACATGATCTTCCAATAAATTGTAACTAGTTTTCAGATATAACAAACAACAGTTATAATGATAATGTATGCAGGGCATACTAGAAAATAAGGGAAATATTCAAAGGCCAAAAAAGAAAAGGAAAATAAAGAAAATTAGAGATTTAAACCTTGGGTTGGGAGCATAAGCAACATACAAGTAAGGAAAAAAAGGATTAATGAGAGAAATTGTATTGAAGGCACCTACATATACCCCAAATTAGCACTGCTGTTGGGTAACTAAGGCTTGGGTGCTCTGAAAATTGGGAGAGAGGAGCTGAGACTTGGCATTCAATGGGGAGCTAAGTAAGTGCACCCCTGATATGAAATGGTTCCATGTCAATGTACCTCCTGATATGAAATGGTTCTAAGTTAGTGTACCCCATGATGGAAAAGGCAGAACCTAAAACAAACAGGTAAAAGTAATAAAAAGTAACTTGTAGGAAATGGAGACTTGCAGGGAGAAGAAAAATCTTAAAAACTATTATTAATATCCTCAGAGAAATAAGAAGAGCAATGTCATCTATGAAACAAAAACAAGAAGACTACGTTGAGGAAAAAGAAGATCCCTTAGTAATTAAAAATATGTGAGCAGATATGAAAAGAAGGGCAGGAAGGTAAAAATGAGGAGCTCTCCCACAAAGCAGAATAAAAAGACAAAGAAATGGATGACAGAAGAGAAGAGATAAGAAAATTAGAAGACCAGGTCTGAATAGTGAGAACTGCAGACAAACACAAAAAAAACGGAGCAGGGAAAATAAAGAAATAAGCAACAAAACTTCCCAGAAGTGAAGCATATGAGTTTCCATGTTGAAAGGGTCCATAGAAAGCCCAGGACAAGGTGTGGACATAGCTCCAGACCAATGTTGTAAAACATTAGGGCACAAAGAACACAAAGGCTCTAAAAGTTTCCATAAAACATAGACCACAAGGTCAAGATCATGAATCAAAATATAAAGCTTCTCAATAGCCACACTGGAAATTAGAAGATAATGAAGAAATGTCTTCAAAATTCCGAAGGAAAATTACTTCGAACCAAGAATTTTTTCACTCAGTCAAGTTACCAACGAAACATAAAGGTGGAATAAAAACATTTTCAGACACACAAAGTCTCTAAAGATGTACCTTACACTCACCCTCTCTCAGAATGTACACCACCAAAACTTGGGAATAAATCAAGAAAGAAGACGTTGCTATGTGTCATCAAGTCATTTCTGACTCACAGCGACCTTATAGGACAGAGTAGAACTGCCCCATAGGGTTTCCAAGGAGCAGCTGGTAGATTTGAACTGCTGACCAGCTCTTAACCACTGCGCCACCAGGCCTCCCTATAATACAGAGTATATATTATATAATACATAATATAAAAGCATTCCTACATATCAATAAAGTACAAACAACCCCCAAAAATATCAGATAAAAAGCCTACAAACATTTTAACAGAAAATGAAACAGTAATAGCAAATAAACATTTAGGTGGAAGAAATTCTCAACCTCATAGATAATTAGGGAAAATCAAATAAAAAATCACAATGGGCTATCCCTTTGCACCTGCTAAATTGGGAAAGATTAAGAAATCTGACAATATTAACTGTCAGTGAAGATGGGAGGCAACAGGAACTTTGAAATACTAATGATGAGAGTGTAAATTGGTAGAAGCATTTTAGAAAACACTTGACATTATCTGGTATAACTGAACCATAAAATTACAAGCCAGATAAAAACTAAATAATATATTATTTAGTGATACATAGCTATAAAGAACAGATAGGAGAGAGGGAGACTAGTTCAGGGAGGGACATACAGAGGGCTTTAAATGTACTGTGAATGTTCTAATTCCAAAAACGGGTAGTAGGTACAGAGGTATTTCATTAATTTATCACTATTATTATCAATACTATTTAAAATTTATGTATAAAATGGGGATAGGCAAATCAATACTAGGCATATGTAAACAAAAAGAAAACAGAAGTAGAAATATAAATTTCATACAAGATGGAATTTAAATTTATAACCACTAAACAGGATAACCCTGGTGGCAAAGTGGTTAAGAGCTCAGCTGCTGACCAAAAGGTCGACAGTTCGAATCCAACAGCCACTCCTTAGAAACTCTACGGGGCAGTTCTATTCTGTCCTATAGGGTCGCTATGAGTTGGAATCAGCTCGATGGCACCAGGTAAACAAGATAAAGGAGACCTGGTGGCACAATGGCTAAGCGCTAGGCTGCTAACGGAAAGATCAGCTATTCAAACATACCAGTGGCCCTGTGGGAGCAAACACCTGGCGACCTGCTCCCATAAAGATTATAGGTGAGGCTGCTTATATACAATCAAACACCTCTTCGGATTTGGTTCCTTGGTTTGGAGGTTTAGGGTCATGGTTTCATGGGACATCCCAGATAATTGGCCTAATGATGTGTTTAATGCTTCTGTTCTACCTCCGAGTTTTATTGTGTAATGCCTGGGGTCTTAAAAGCTTGCAAGTGGCCATCCAAGGCACAACAATTGATCTCCATTCACCGGAATAACAGAGGAAGGAGAGTCGGGACTAGGAGGAGGATATAGAATATGTCGCTAATTGCCTCCATGAACAACTGCCTCCTTTGTCATGAGACCAGAAGAATTAAATGGTGCCCGGCTACCATACTAAACATTTTGATCAAAGATTCCATAGCAGAATCCTGATCAAAAGGGGGAAAATGAAGAACAGAATTTCAAATTCTTATGGACTCCAGACTTTCTGGATCCATGAAGGGTGGATGAACCCCTGAAACTAATCCCCTGAGATAATCTTTAAGCCTTAAACCAAAAATATTCCCTGCAGTCATCCTAAAACCAAACGATAGTTTAGTTTAGCTTAACTAGTAAAAAAGGAAGAGCGCTGGTGGTGTAGTGGTTAAGAGTTTGGCTGCTAAAAAGGTTGGCAGTTCAAATCCACCAGCCATTCGTTGGAATTGACTCGACGGCAATGGGTATATGCATGCGATAAAAAAAGGCTGACCTTGAGCCTTATGTTCTTTTAAGAACTATCTATATAGGATCAAACTGACAACAGCAACTCCAAAGATTAGATAGGAACCTTAGGCGGTAGTGAGTTTCTGTTAATGAGGGGGGAACAACTCAGAATAGGAGGATGAGAATGATTGCACAACTAGAAGAATGTAATGAACGTCACTGAACTATACATGTAGAAACTGTTGAATTGGTGTATGTTTTGCTGTGTATATTCTCAATAACAACAATAAAATAAACAAAATTTAGGAAAAAAAAGATTACAGCCTAGCAAACCCTATGGGGCAGTTCTACTTTGTCATATAGGGTTGCTATGAGTCAGAATCGCCTTGACAGCACACAACAACAACACACAGGATAAAGAGGAACATAAAATTTAAATGTCCAAAATACCTTGCTTCCCACTTATGGAAGGCAGGGTGTTATCTGAGGAAATTAGGAGGAAATATGGTTACCATTTCCTTGTAGCAGGATTTTAAGTGTTGGTTATCTTACAAGATTAGTTTGATGACCATAGCTTAATAGTTTTAACTCTGTATTAAAGCATAATATAAAGAAAAATGTACCTACCGTAAGTGTACACCTAAATGAATTTGTCAAAAAGTAAGCAACCCATATAATTAGTCTTAGATCAAGAAACAAAACATAACCCATACTTTATAAGCCCACCTCCCTGTGTCCCTTCTAGTCACTACTCCCCACCCAAGGTAACCACTAACCTGACTTCTAACAGCATAGGTTAGTTTTGCCTATTTAATAGCCGCATGTTTAACAATATTGAGAATGTAATCCACAGTGCTTTTGTACTGTGTCTAGAATAGAGACTATTTACGTTCCCCACTATACCACATATACTGAGACACCAAAAACTTTTGTAAGTGATTATTTGATGCTAATGATTTCTAGAGACTAGTTACATTCTTCACTATACTACATATACTCTGAGATATCAAAATAAATTTAAGTGATTATTTGATGCTAAAGGTACACTTGGTCACCATACATATATGTAGAAAACCCAACAACTTATAATGATGGGGTGCCTTCACACACAGCCCAATTTAGGAATTTTTAAAATATTTATTGAGTACTGAGCTTTGGTAGCCCAGTGGTTAAGAGCTATAGCTGCTAATCAAAAGGTGGGCAGTTCAAATCCACCAGTAGCTTCTTGGAAACCCTATTGAGCAGTTCTACTGCATCCTATAGGGTTGTTACGAGTCGGAATCGACAGCAATGGGTTTAGTTTTTTTTGTTGTTATTGTGCCAGATACTGTGCTAAATGCTTTACATATGTAATCTTACCTTATCCTTATATAAATTCCCTTAGAAGTGAGCATTATTATTATCCCTACTTTTCAAGTCAAGAAACTGAATCTCAGATGTTAAGCAACATGACTAAGGTCACACAGATAATTAGTGGCTCTTTCTTAGTCCAAAGCCCATGCTCTTAGCCAATATAGTACTAGACTTTTTTAAAGATACTTGGTTTCTCAGTGTGTAGACAAGGAAATTAGAAATAATTCCTACATTCCTGAGTCTATACAAGCTGTCTGATAAACATATTACCTTATTTATTCAAATAACACGTGCCTTCCGAGTTTGTTTGCCAGCTGCACCCACCCTCTGCTAGGCATGCTCACAAGTGCCACCATGCCAATCCTCTTCCACATGTTGCTATAAGAAAAACTAGCATAGCGTGCTTACGAAAATACCTCATGGGGGAAGGGCCTGGCCAGCAAACAAACAGAAGGTGCCTGTAATTTTTGTTAAAATACGGCAATCATTTTAGGGGTGATATAGAGGAAAACCAAGATAATAGCCAAGATGATCCTTGTCTACCGGGCTATACAGAATCCTGTACATGTTTCCCATAATTTCATTCCACAGCCCACCCCCAGCCCACTCATATCCCCATGAGATGCCTGAAGAAGGAAATTCCCCTTATACTCCCAGATGCAGCCAATGATAAACATCTGGAGGAACTCAGTTATTGGGAAATTTGGCTTTAATCTCTACACTTCAACCCAAGGCAGGCACCTTCTTGTGGTTTAGAGAAATAAAGAATGAATGGGATGTGCCCGTCTGTTTATTATACTTCATAAAGGACACTGGATTAGACTTTCATCTAGTGGCAGAGTGGCTTCTAACACTTCAAGTCTGCAATGACAAGACAACTAAAAATAATTTCACTGTGCATTGGAGGTGTATGCTTACTTGCTACTCTTGTGTGCACTGGAGATTTTACAGTTAGGGCATGAACTTATGGATTCCATTTGGCTTGTTTTCCAGAAACCTACAAACATCAGCCAGAAAGCATGGAAAGGAACATCACCTGGTCGCTTTCTAGCTGACTTGCACCACTGGCCCATATTAGATGATGGAAATCATAATGGAAGGTTCTGCCACTGCCCACTGAGCCCAGTAATCATCCCAGTGGAGCTCAAATCTCCACTGCATGGTCCCTAACCACAGAGACTCAACTGTCCAAACCAGAGGACCCTGCAGTATTTTTGGTAAAGAAAGAGATTAGGACAACCTTTTTCACTATTTAAGAGTTAGGATAAGCCCAAGATGATCAAGGTATTGAGACTCTTAAAGCATCCATCCCATTGCTCAGAGATTAGCCTGCTAAGCAATCTACATATGGCTGGGAATCCTACAGGACTAGCAGGTTCAGAAATGTACCTGGTCAGAAAATCACCCTGACATTTTTTAAGGAGTTATGATTGGACCTGAAATTCCCTCTGACCAGACCCCAGAGCCTTTATGTCATTGCCCAGGATGAATTCCTGCTAAGAAGCAGATAGAGGAGCAAACACAATGACTTCAAGCCTTGCGAGGCCTAATAATCACCAATAACCACCAATTGCCTCTCATGATGAAAGTACTTTTATACAAACCATCTCATTTGACCTCTACCTCCTACAGAGGTCATCAGTGGTGTTTGCCAAATATTTTTGGATCTACCACTTGCCAAGAACGTAGTAGAATTGCACTGTCTGGCTTCCTTGTGTTTAGGTGGTGCCTGGTGGATAGTTCTGGCCAATGAGTTGTGGGCAAAAGAGATGGGTGTCTGTCTCTTCCAGTTCTAAGCACTTAATTATAGTGCAACCAGCAACATTCAAGATGGGTCAGCTCCATTAGCCTGGATCTCTTAATGACTTGAATGAGCACAGCCTCTTTCTCAGCCTGTGATGAACACAAAGCAAAAATAAAAAAAGAAACCTTTGAACTGCTGAAACTTTGGGGTTGTTTGCTACCACATTATAACCTGACCTGTTCCAAGTTTATACAACTCCTAGGTAGGAGAGATCATCGTTATCATCACTTTACAGTTCCATCCATTCCTTTATTCAACAAACATTTACCGACTCCCTACTTTGTATCAGGAATCGTGCTAGCTCTGGGGATACAGAGTGTACAAGGCAGCCATGTTCCTTTGCCCTAGGTCTGTGCCTACAGATACTAAAACATGGGGGGAAAATATCCTTATACATTTAAGTCACTAAGCCTGTCAATTTGTCTCTCTGAGGTCAATTTCCTCATCTGTAAAATACATATAATACCTACCTTACAAGATTTATGTAAAGAATAGCAGCAGTGCCTGGCATACACAGGGGAACACTAATTGACAGATATAAATATTTCCCTCCACATTTTTAATAGTGAAAATGATTTTGAGCAAAGCATGAAAAGACAGTGGCAAATAAGAATTTAAAGTCTTTCATCATCCATTCCCGTTTTCACATTATTCTTTATGCCAGGATGTCTTGGGCTTTTTTGTTTCTTTTTTAATTATTAATCAGTTCCAGTTTGTCTTCCAGCCTCCCTCTAACTAGGTCCAAGGTCTGTAGCAAGTAGCTTGGGTTTTCTTTGGACATAAACCATCTTGGAGAGGTTCCTGTGTTTCCATGGGCCAAGCTTACTAAGAACAAGCAGCATCTTCCTACAAACTCTCAGGAGAACCCTTGTGGAGGAGGGGCTCTGATTTGTTGAGCTCTTTTCTGCATTCGGGTCAGCTGAAAGGTGGAAGGAGGAGGGGAGAGAAAAGGTGTTCCTGGAGAATAGGTGGAACACAGAGGAACTTGAGACAGTAGGAGAAGGTATGCATGTGGCCCACATGGTAATTTTCACAAGTGAATGTGTCTCCACGAGTGGGTGTACTTGACTCAGGTCATACCTGAGTCCTGAGGATAGTGTGATTTAAAATTTCTCCCCAGCTTCCTCAGTGTCAAATAGAAAGTGAGAAGAAAAGAAGTCTGCACGTGGCGGGTGCTTCCTTGAGATAACCATCATCACCATCTCAGAATAGTTTCTTAACCCTACTGGCAATACTGATGACATTTGGACTGTCTAGAAAACATGCAAAATAGTTGAGAATCTATTCAATCTCTAAGATGTGAACAGTAGTGGAAAAACAAATATCCAGCACCCACGCCTTGGGGAACAAATCAAAGCCAGTGTGCTGCTGACTAACATGCCTGAGGAATGAGCAGGTCTGAGGCTATGAAGACAGTGCCTTCAGTCTGGGGACATGTTGAATTTGGGGTGCACATGGTAGTGTTGCTTGGTAAAGTAGAGGGTCAGCGAAAAAGAAGACCCTCCATGAGATGGACTGACACAGTGGCTGCAACAATGGGCTCAAACATAGCAATGATTGTGAGGATGGCACAGGACTGGCCAGTATTTTGTTCTGTTGTACATAGCCGCTATGAGTGAGAATCGACTGGACAGCACCTAACAACAAGAAGAATGGAGTAGGCAGTTGGAAACGTGAGTCAAAGCTGAGATGAAAGATTTGGGATGAAGATAAATATTTGGGAGTCATCTTTATACGAATGGTACTGGAATTCTTGAGAATGATTGAAATAACCTAGATTTTAGACAATGAATAATCAAGATTCTAGACAATAAGGATAGTGTGATGACCCAGGAGATTACTCAGAACCTCAAGTCTTCCTGATTTCAGGCACTTCTCCTTGGTGCTGCTAAAAAAGAAGTTGAGAAACATAAAGAGGAACATCTGGGCTTGTCCCTGTTTTCTGCTCTACCCATTGAAGTGTGCCAGTGCTACCACATTAGTACAGCATAAAAAATATGAGCACTAGATTTTGAAATCAGGTAGACCAGGATTTGAATCTCATTTCCAAAATTTACTAGATATGTGACCTTGGATAAATAATCTAATCTCTGGATAAGTAATTTAATGAGAGGATATTTTAAAAAATATTGGTCTAATGCATGATACATGGAACACACTGAATAAATATTAGCTGTTATCATTGTCCACATATTGTGGAAACAAGAGTGACTATCCTCATGGGTGGGTAAACATTGCTCCAATTTCTAGGGACTCAAACTCTTCAGTTTCTTCATCTACAAAATACATGATGGAGTGGAAGGAGTCCTGGTGGCGCAATGGTTAAGCACCTGGCTGCTAACCAAAAGGTCCTTGGTTGGAACCCACCAGAGGCTCCATAGGAGAAAAGACCTGATGGTCTGCTCTCATAAAGATTACAGCCTAGGAAACCCTATGGGGCAGTTCTACTCTGTCATGCAGGGTCATGATGAGCTGGAATCGGCTTGAGGGAACAAAAAAGAGATGGAGTGGAAGTGACCTCCAGGGCAATCTTGAAAGTCATGAGTTGGAGTAGCAGATCCTGAAAGCCTGGGTCCCAGAATTATTATGGGGAAGAAGGCCACCCCACTGAGCTGTTCTACCACCCACCTGTTACGTGAGCAAGAAATACATTTTGATTGTTTAAAACCATTCTACCCTTGGAGGTCTGTTTGTTCCAGCACTTGGCCTACCCTAATAGATTTTATTTTTTTAGTTACATGGCTCTTGAGAGTCAAGCATCTATCTAAGAGGCACTGGTAGATAATAGGATCATTCTAGTGCCTTCATGTTCCACTCTATACTCTTTAGGGCATTAAATACTCAGAAATTTATACTCTTTATAAGATTTTTTTTTTTTTTTTTTTTTTTGGAGAGAGAGAAGAAATTGATAATGTTATAATGTTAGGGTTAGATAGCACAGGCTTTTAATACTATACCATCAAAAAGCAACGTGAGTTTTTAGCAAGAATGTAGATTACAGTCTGCAGAAATGTGGCCAATAATGAATTTCTGGGGACAACAAGCCAGAAAGACTTTTAAAAACACGGGTGTCAAAGATTCATTTTTAAATATTTTCATTGCTGCAATGTAAACCCTCCTCCTCTTCCCCAAAACTTCAATAAGCATGATATGTACACACACACACACACACACACACACACACACACACATTAGAAAGACAGCCATGTTGCCACATGGACCACAGCCACTGAGCAACCTCAGAGAAAAACAAAGGGAGATGTCAGTTTATTCAAATTTTCCAAATTACTCACTATGTCACAGATATAAGAGTAAGATAAATTAAGCTGAAGGTACACAGACTTCTGGCCCTCAGAATAAGG